GGGTGAATACATCTTATAACTGATTTACTGGTAGTCACGAAAAACAATACTTAATTCGAAAAATAAATTATAGTAGTCGATTGTTATAGCAAAACATACGATTGCCTCATCGACAATTCCACAAAAAGCATACGATATGGCAAAAAGGCCTAGCCTTCCCTGAAAATTCACATTTGCCTTGTGACCCAAAAGGCGCTCGTGGCAGTGTAGCCGAGTTGTTAGCGTGTCAAGCTACCGTCCTGCACTGTCGCGGTTCGAGTCCCGCTGAGGGTGTTGATAAGACCAATGCGAGGTCGAAACTGCAGTCCACTGGTGCTTGGATGAGAAAAACTTTTGGGAATGCAAAGCTATGTAAATATTTAATGGAAACGTCAGTCTAACTCATATCATTTGTGGGAAAATTCTACTTCTACCAGTCCTTCATCACCTTAAAGGAAATTTGATGAATACATCTTATAACTGATTTACTGGTAGTCACGAAAAACAATACTTTATACTTATTTTTTGTTTTATAAGTAGGTTTTAGAGATTATCAGTAGATCATATATTTAAGATAAACCTAGCCTAGTTAGTTTAAGACGCTGAAGGACTCCTTCCAACAATAACATGAGTAGGCCCTATGCTTCAACTTAATTTTACACAGTTTTAATCATTCGAAAAGCAAGGCCATGTGAAATTCGGTGAAATGTAAGAGCTATTCATGTGACTGTCTCATAAATTGCTTTCTCATCCGACGAGATTTGAACCAAGGGTCTTGCATCTAAAAAAGCAACCTTACCGCCTCGCCACACACTTGTTGGTACCAATGAATGTCAAAGTAATTGTAATTTAAGTAGTATGTTAGGCTTTTTGCAGTCTACATCTTTGGTGGAATAGAATAAAATGATATTGGCTATTGAACTTGATAAAATCATCACTTGTGTCGAGCTTACTTCCATTTCGAGTGAATACGTTATTCGAGAGTCGATCCCATCAGAATACGATAGCTTAGCATTGAGATAAGTGAGCATAGACCGAACTGGCTTCTGACAGGTACGTTCGGTTTGACCGAGAGCATAATTGCTAAGCATCTTGTAGATGACCTGCAGAAGCAAAAATCTCATTTTTCCGTCACTACGGCTATATACTCTTTAAAATTTGTTCTCAGTACACAAACTATGTCATCTGCCCCACATTGATGAAACTCCTACTCTCGTCTCTCAGCCGTCCACTTATTTTCGCGAGATGTTATCTCAATTTCAGTATTGGCCTAGAAAGCTATGAAGAACTCGATGTTCGCGATCGCATTCTACCCTTCTGTATTCTCCAGGCGGCTTTTTGCAAAATTAAATGGAAAATTATAAACCAGCCCAGCCAGCTTAGAGCGTTCGGCGGAGGCTTTGGGCCAGTGTTCCGGCTAGAATATTCCGTTTGCTCTTCAGTTGCCGCCTCAATTTCTGATGCAATAACTGTCAGTAGCTGGCCCTTGGCTGTCTAGAATGAAAGGACTTGATCCGCTTTGTGAGAAATGTTTATGTGGAGGAGTGGAGTTGAACCGAATGGAGGGATATGCTGAAGATCAATGCTTTAGAAGAAATAGTGTGTGTGTGTGTGCGTGTGTGTGAGAGAGAGAGAGAGATTATGATGAATGTGTCTGCTTAGTATTGGTTTAGGGAAAGAAGTGAAACGAATGACTGCGTTGCTAAGAGGTGAAATAATCTTTGTCCTTGTCTGTACATACATCATTTCCCAATCATTTGCTATTAGGAACTCGATCAGAAACTATTAACTTTGTAAAAATTCCTGTATTTTTTAAAACTCGCGGGCGAAAACAGCATCAACAGGCAAGAATGCGAAGTTCATGTAACAGGGTGCATTTATGAGTGTAAATAAGAATTGGCCAGGGTCTTTCGGTTGAAAGAGACAGCAAACAAGAACGTACAGGTTTCGTAGTTATACTAAAGGAGTGGTAAAACTGATAAAACTTGGATTGTCTGTACATTATTTGCAGAGCGTTAATATTCGGCACCGGCATGAAAGTAAAAAAATTATATGAAAAAATGCATTAGCCGGATTTGTTATCTTTTTTGTCTCACCAACTTCCCGACACAACAAACTTGTGAGGGTAGATAATCGAGATAAAATGGCGGGAAAATTTTCTCCCTCACCTCGCAAATAGCTCTGCAGTTCGAGTCGTCATTGTTGACAATGAAATGAACTAAAATGGC